AATATCTTGAAAGACATTATTATATTAATATGTGGTGCACTATTTTTTGATTTTTCTCTTTATACATGTATATTATGTAATAGTAATATAGTCATATATAGTTGTCTGGAATTAATTAGTAGAACTGTATACCCTATTGGTATAATTATATGTCATACTGGTATCATATGCTAGTTGAATCATTTTTTGGTTGTATTAGCTGCATTTAATTGGTATACTATTTGATTTTCTTTTAATAATAGTAATATAGTATAATATCTTGAAATACTTTATTATATTAATATGTGGTACACTATTTTTTTTATCTTTCTCTTTATGCATGTATGTTATGTAATAGTAGTATAGTCATATAGTTGCTGAGAATTAACAAGTAAAATTATATACCATGTTGGTATAGTTATATACCATATTGGTATCATATGGTAGTTTGAACATTTTTTTTTGTTGTTTTAGCTGCATTCTTAAGTGAATTCTATTCTAAAATTATTTATATGAACATGATTTGCAGTACTGGAATTTTTTTGTGCCGATAGACATAGATTATGTGTATTATGTAATAGTTTCTATAATTATAGCCAATTGTTGGAATGATCTCATACAACTATATACCATGTTAGTATATGGAATGAGAAAGTTGCTTTGCGAATATTTAGCTTGCAATGCGAGAATATAATTTTCTGATACTTATATTGCATCCTTTAATGTTTTGGTACAATAGTATAGTCGCAGATAATTGTTGCAATATTCTAGAGCAATCATGTACTTTGTTGGTATACATGTGTACCATATTAGTATCATATGGTACTAAAGTCTTTTTTGCTACTTATACTTTTATTGTATTTTTCAATATTTTATTATCATTATATTCTAACTAGTATATAGAGAAATTTGGTGGTCGTAGATTATGCTTTCTTGCTCCATAACTGGTTGTGTTACTGCTAATGGTAGAGTGTGTACTGATATTTGTAGGGAAGGAGATCAAGGTTTGTATGGCAATCACGTGTTGATTCTTAGAATCTGATTATGTAATTTATGGTGCTTAGCAGCAGTCAGTGTGATATTCAGTGAATTAGATGAAGTGACAACTCATATTATTTCAGTTTAATAATTGAATTAAGAAAATGAAAAAAAGACAAAAGGTATATTACACTAGTTATATTTAAAAAAATAGGAGAATAAATATTTACTATATTAGTTATTTTTCTTATTGTATAACAATAAGAATAATAAAAAATAGTGAAAACGGTAAATGAAATTAAATTATGAAAAGAAAAAGAATATAAAAAAAGAAGTTAAATGAAATTAGAAAAGGAAATAAGAAGAAAATGAGAAAAAAGAAAAGGAGAAAAAAAAGAAGCATAGAAATAAAAAAGAATTGGGGAATGCAGAAAAATTCCCCACAAAAACTACTATGGGTAGAAAATATAATTAATTTATGGGTAGAAAAACAAATGGGTAAACAAGGGTAAATAGTTCTGTTTTTGTGGGTAAATGTAACCCCATAATCTTTTATGTTTTTTCCATGCGTTACAGTTCTAAGAGGCCCAAGAAAGGCCTAATCTCCCTTTTTTTGGTCAAACCTTGAATTAACTGTGTGGCGAGAATACGTAAAAATTGCACGGGCCGTCCTATTTGGTCGCCCCATTTAACCTATGTCACGACCCAAATCGAAGGGCCGCGACGGGCACCCGGTGCCTTACTCAACCGAGTACCAACGTAACATATCTTTCTTATCATATTATCATGAGTAAATGAGCTAGAAAACCCGTCATGAGATAACAAGAATAAAACATAAGGGAATACTCAACATATGAANNGAACAAGTGGAGTGCACCAACACCTCCGCTGAGCTGATAGCCTATTAGGAGGACTGTCAACCTATCAATCGGGACTTGCGGGCATGAAATGCAGCGTCCCCAGGCAAAAGGGACGTCAGTACGAATAAAGTACCAAGTATGTTAGGCAGGAAAGCATACATAAGAACAGTAATGTAAAGAGAGAGATAGAGGAGATACAACCTGTAACATCTTAGTGCCTCTAGGGGCTATGATATGAAATGCATAATACATATATATACATAAACTTTTTTAAAACATTCGCCTCTGTGGGCATCATCATCATCATATCGTACCCGGCCTCAAAGAGGACTCGGTAAAAGCGTACCCGACCATCATAAGGTTCGGTAGAATCGTACCCG